AGAAGACAAAACAAAGATATTCTTAGATCAAGGGAAACTAAGAAAATGTATCAGTAGCAGTTGTGCTTTAGAAGAAATGAAAAGAAAGTCCTTCAAACTGAAGGGGAAGGACACTGGATGAAATTTATATCTTCAGAAATAAACAAAGAACAAAATAAAGAGTAAATATCTGAGAAAATATGAGACTATTTTTCTCCACTTAGGTTCTATAAAATATGTATGACTGTTAAAAGCAAAATTTATAACTTTTTCTGATAGAGTTTGCCATATATGTATATGTGATAAAAATATGACAATTATAGCAAAGGTCAGTGAAGGAGAATAAATGAAACTGTATGGTTCTAAACTCCTAAATTTGACCAAAAGTAATACAATATTAACTCTGAATAGACTATAAAAAAGTTGGGCATGCATATTGTTATCATTAGCACTATCTAATAACCACTAAAATAATAATACCAACACACTACCCAGAAGGCCAACAGAAATTTAAAATGGAATGCTAGAAAATATAAAAATACACTACATGTAAACAGCTCAAAAAACCAATAGAAAGATTGTTAGATTCAATAATTTAAAAAACTATACACTATTCTTTCCAAGCAAAAACAAAAGACATAACATGTTGGGGGAAGCAGCAAAGGAGAAAAGACTTATAGAGTGCCTACATAAACTGCTTATAAGTAACACATAAACTGGAAACAACAAACCATGGCAAACTGCAGTAGGCCTCTGGGGAGGCAAACTTCTCCATGCCTCATGTTCCAGGTGCAGGGTGACCTAGGCTCTGTTACAATAAACCTTGTGCTCAAGGATGTAAAACCCCTTCGTAGCACTAAAATGTAACCACAAGGTTCCTTGTTAGGCGCATATTCTACCAGCTGCACATAGATAATAGGCTAAAGATAACCACATGTTCTCATTTTGTGAAACTCCCAAAACCGCCACTGTCATCAATCTTTAGAATGACACACCAGTTCCCGCTCACTGATTCACCCCACCATCATGTCACCCTCTCCCCACCATCACTCCAGTACCTACCCTATAGATCAAAGAAATTGTAACCAATAAATACTGTGGAAGATCAGAGCTCGGGGTCTTTGCAACTTCCAGTTTTGCACTGGCCCCCGGTCCCACTTTATGCGTTCTTAACCTGTCTTTTTCCCAGTCTTTCCTCATTCCTTTGTCACCACCAAACTCGGGGTACCCAAGGGTGGTGTGTGGGGGCTGGCACCCTACAACAACATGCAAACTATTATCAGAAGAAAGCCAGAGTGGCCATTAATACTAAAGAAGAACTAATATCAATCCTATTCAAACTTCTCTGAAAATTAGAGGAGGAAGGAATACTTCCAAACTCATTCTATAATACAAAGCCAGTATTATCCTGATATGAAAACCAAAGACACATAATTTAAAAAAAAAAAAAAACTACAGGCCAATATCCCTGATTAATACTGATGCAAAAATCCTCAACGAAATACTAGCACACAACATTCAACACATTAAAAAGGTCATTCATCATGACCAAGTGAGATATATCCCTGGGATGCAAGGATGGTTCAGCATACGCAAAATCAATCCATGTGATACATCATGTGAACGGAATGAAGGACAAAAACCATATGACCCTTTCATTTTATGCTGGAAAAGCATTTGATAAAATTCAACATCCTTTCATAATAAAAACTCTCAAAAAACTGGAGATAGAACATGCCTCAACATAATAAAATCTATATTCTAAAGACCCACAGCTAGTATTAGGCTGAATGAAGAAAAACTGAAAGCCTTTCTTCCAAGATCAGGAACACCAGGCTACCCATTTTCACCACTGTTATTCAATATAGTACTGGAAGTCATAGCTAGAGCAATCAGACAAGAGAGATGTAAAGGGCATGCAAATGAGAAAGAAAGAAGACAAATTATCTTTGTTTGAAGATGATATGATCTTGTATTTGGAAAAACCTAAAGACTCTACTGAGAAATTAATAGAACTGATAAACAAATTCAGTAATGTTACAGGATATGAAATCAACATACAAAAATCAGTAGTATTTCTGTATGCCAACAGCAAACAACCTGAAAAAGAAATTGAGAAAGTAATGCCACTAGCAATAGGTACATAAAAAATTAAACACCTAGGAATTAACCAAGAAAGTGAAGGATCCCTAAAATGAAACTATAAAATATTGATGAAAGAAACTGAAGAGGATACCAAAAAAGTGGAAAGATATTTCATATTCATGGATTAGAAGAATCAATATTGTTAAAATGTCCATACTGTCCAACTCAATCTGCCGATTTAATGCAATCCCTATCAAAATGCCAATGACATTTTTCACACAAACAGAAAAAAAAGTCCTAAAATTTATGTGGAACTAACAAGACCCAGAATAGCTGAAGCCATTCTGAGCAAAAAGAGCAACACCTGAAGTATCATATTACCTGACTTCAAATTGTACTACAGAGCTATAGTAACCAAAGCAGCATGGTACTGACATTAAAAAAAAAAAAAAAAGACACAAAGACCAAGTACAGAATAGAGAGCCCAGAATAAATCCATATATTACACTGAACTCATTTTTGACAAAGGTGCCAAGCACATACACTGAGAAAGGAAAAGTCTTGTCAATAAATTGTGCTGGGAAAACTGACTGTGTATATGAAAAACAATGAAACTAGACTCTCTCTCACCATATATAAAAATCAAATGAAAATGAACTAAAGACTTAGAAATCTAAGACCTCAACCTATGAAACTACTACAACATTGGAAAAACTCTCCAGGATACCCAGGGACTAGGCAAAAATTCCTTGAGTAATACCCCACAAGCACAGAAAACCAAAGCAAACATGAATAAATGGGATCACATCAAGTTAAAAAGCTTCTACACAGCAAACGAAACAATCAACAACATGAAAAGACAATCCACAGAATGGAAGAAAATATTCGCAACCTATCATTTGGACAAGGGATTAAAAACCAGAATATATAATGAGTTCAAACAATACTATAAGAAAAAAACTAATAATCCAATTCAAAAATGTGCAAAAGATTTGAATAGACATTTCTCAAAAGAAGACATACCAACGTCAAACGATATATAAAAAGGTGTTCAACATCACTGATCATCATAGAAATGAAAATAAAAACTACAATGAGATACCATTGCACCCCAGTGAAATAGCTCATATCCAAAAGGCAGGCAAAAACAAATGCTGGTCAGTATATGGAGAAAAGAGAACCCTCTTACACTGCTAGTGGGAATGAAAATTAGTATTAACTACTATGGAGAGCAGTTTGGAGGTCCCTCAAAAAATTAAAAATAGAATTACCACAAGATTCAGCAATCCCACTGCTAGGTATAAACCTAATGATTGAATTCATGGAGATAGAGAGTAGAAGGATGGTTACCTGAGGCTGGGAAAGGTATTGGCGTGGGGGAAATAGGGATGATTAATGGGTAAAAAATACAATTAGTTTGAATTGTTTATAACACAAAGAAAGGATAAATGCTTGAGGTGATGAATGCCCTACTTAACCTGATGTGTTTATTAGGGATGCATATCTGTGTCAAAATATCTCATGTATATTTTATTCAACAGACATAGAAATATTAATTTCATTTACTTCCTCATTAGTGACTTTTGTTAACTCATATAATACAGGGAATTGGTCCATTCTATTTCAAATTTATGGGCATAAAGTCATTCATTGTATTCCCTTATTATTTTTTAAAGTCTACAAACTGCAAATTGAAATTAAAAGAAATAATACCAATTACAATGGCCTCAAAGAACATAAAATATTTTGGTATAAAATCTGAAAATATGGCCAGGCCCAGTGGCTCAGGCCGATAATCCCAGCACTTTTGGAGGCCGAGGTGGGCGGCTTCCCTGAGCTCAGGAGTTGGAAAGCAGTCTGGCCAACATGGCGAAGCCCCGTCTCTATTAAAACTACAAAAAAAAAATTAGCTGGGCATGATGACAGGTATTTGTACGCCCAGCTACTCAGGAGGCTGAGGCAGGAGAATCACTTGAACCCGGGAGGAGGCAGTTGCAGTGAGCCAAGATCACGCCACTAAACTCCAGCCTGGGCAACAGGGCAAGACTCCGTCTCACGGGGGAAAAAAAATCTAAAATATATACACAGAATCCATATCTAATAACTACAACAAACTGTTGTAAAAAATCAGTGAAAACCCAAATAGATGAGAAAAAATACTGCAATGAAGAACAAGGTAAATCAATATTGTCTATACATCAATTCTCCTCAAAATGATTTGCTGAGTCAATATAATCTCCACAAAAATCCCAGCAAATTTTTTTTGACAAACTGTTCTAAAATGTGTAAGAAAAACAAAATGAACTAGAATGACAAAGTAAATTTTCAAAAAGAAAAATAAAGTTGGGGGAATCTCATCATCTAACTTCAAGATTTACTGTAAAACTATACTAATCCCAGCATTTTGGGAGGCCGAGGTGAGCGGATCACCAGAGGCCAGGAGTTAGAGACCAGCCTGGCCAACATGTCAAAACCCTGTCTCTACCAAAAACATAAAAATTAGCCAGGTATGGTGGCACGTGCTTGTAATCCCAGCTGCTCCAGAGGCTGAGACAGGAGAACCACTTGAACCCAGAAGGCAGATATTAAAGTGAGCCAAGATCATGCCACTGCACTCCAGCCTGGGCAACAGAGTGAGACTCAATCTCAAATGTATATATACATGCACACACTAATAAAGTAAGTGAGGAATTTGCAAAAGATAGATACATGGATCAATGAAATAGAAAACAGTCAAAAAATAAATATACATCAAGATGTCCATTTAATTTTCAATAAAGCTACAAAGACAAATTAATGAATAAAGGATAGTCTTTTCAACAAATGGTCATTGGATAATAAAGGCTCAACTTATCAGGAGGACATAATCCAAAATTTTATGTACCTAATAACAGTTTCAAAATACATGAAGAAAAAACAGGTAACACTGCAGGAAGGTGCTCGCTTAGGCAGCACATATACTAACATGGGAATGACACAGAGGAGATTAGCATGGCCCCTGCGCAAGGATAACATGCAAATTCATGAAGGGTTCTGTATTTTTAATGGCCATACTTCCCAAAGTAATTTACAGATTCAATGCTGTCCCCATCAAGCTACCAATGACCTTCCTCACAGAACTGGAAAAAAACACCTTAAACTTCATATGGAACCAAATGAGAGCCCACATAGCCAAGTCAATTCTAAGCAAAAAGAACAAAGCTGGAGGAATCACACTACCGGACTTCAAACTATACTACAAGGCTACAGTAATCGAAACAGCATGGTACTGGTATCAAAACAGAGATATAGACCAATGGAACAGAACAGAGGCCTCAGAGGCAATGCCACACATCTACAACCATCTGATCTTTGGCAAACCTGACAAAAACAAACAATAGGGAAAGGATTTCCTGTTTAATAAATGGTGTTGAGAAAACTGGCTAGCCATGTGCAGAAAGCAGAAACTGGACCCCTTCCTGACACCTTACACTAAAATTAACTCCAAATGGATTAAAGACTTAAACATAAGACCTAACACCATAAAAACTCTAGAAGAAAATCTAGGCAAAACCATTCAGGACATAGGCATAGGCAAGGACTTCATGACTAAAACACCAAAAGCATTGGCAACAAAAGCCAAAATAGACAAACGGGACCTAATCAAACTCCACAGCTTCTACACAGCAAAAGAAACTGTCATTAGAGTGAATCGGCAACCAAGAGAATGGGAAAAATTTTTGCAATCTACCCATCTGACAAAGGGCTAATATCCAGAATCTACAAAGAACTAAAACAGATTTACAAGAAAAAAACAAACAAACCCATTCAAAAGTGGGCAAAGGATACGAAGAGACACTTTACAAAAGAAGACATATATGAGGCCAACAAACATATGAAAAAATGCTCATCATCACTGATCATTAGAGAAATGCAGATCAAAACTACATTGAGATACCATCTCACGCCAGTTAAAATGGCAATCATTAAAAAATCTGGAGACAACAGATGTTGGAGAGGATGTGGAGAAATAGGAACACTTTTACACTGTTGGTGGTAATGTAAATTAGTCTAACCATTGTGGAAGACAGTGTGGCAATTCCTCAAGGACCTAGAAATAGAAATTCCATTTGACCCAGCAATCCCATTACTGGGTATATACCCAAAGGATTATAAATCATTCTATTATAAGGACACATGCAGACGAATGTTCACTGCAGCACTGTTTACAATAGCAAAGTCTTGGAACCAACCCAAATGCCCCATCAATGATAGACTGGACAGGGAAAATGTGGCACATATACACCATGGAATACTATGCAGCCATAAGAAACGATCAGTTCATGTCATTTGTAGGGACGTGGATGAACATGGAAACCATCATTCTCAGCAAACTGACAGAAGAACAGAAAATCAAACACCACATGTTCTCACTCATAGGCAGGTGCCGAACAATGAGAACACATGGACACAGGGAGGGGAGCATCACATACTGGGGTCTGTAGTGGGGAACTAGGGGAGGGACAGCGGGGGCTGGGGAGTTGGGGAGGGACAGCATAGAGAGAAATGCCAGATATAGGTCATAGGGAGGAAGGCAGCAAACCACACTGCCATGTATGTACCAATGCAACAATCTTGCATGCTCGTCACATGTACCCCAAAACCTAAAATGCAATAAAATATAAATTTTAAAAAAAGACTGCAGGGAGAAAGAGGTAAATAAAAATTATAACTGAAGATACCCTTCTCTCAATAAGTGATAAAAACAGACAGAAAATCAGAGTAATTGTAGAAGACTTGAACAAGACTATCAATCAAGTTGACCTAACTGAAATGCATACAATACTCCACCCATCAATATAAGAACATGCATTCTTTTCACGTGCACAAAAAAATATTTACCAAGATATACAATATTCTGGCCAATAAATTTTAAAGGATTCTAGTCATATAGCCTTACGTATATTAAATAAGTTGAATTTATATTAATAAGTTGAATTTGGAGTTTAAAAAAACTTCAGGCCTAGAGGGCTTCAATGGTGAATTCCACCAAATACATAATGAAGATATAATGCCAATTTCATAAAAACTCTTTCAGCAAATGATCAGTAGCGTCTCATGGGGCTCATTATATAAGGCCAGCATTGTCTTGTCATCAAAACTAGTCATATATTATAAGAAAAGTACAGACTAATATCTCTCTTGAACATAGATACCCAAATTCTAAATAAAGCTTCAACAAACCAAATCCAACCTAATATAAAAAGAAATGCATATCATTTCAGATGAAGTTTATCTTAGGAATGTAAGTTTGGTTTAACATTCAAAAATTATGTACATAATTCACCATGTTAACAAACTTGAAAAAAATCATATGATTTTCTCAATGGGCACAGAAAATGCATTTAACACAATCTAGTTTCCATCGCTGGTAAAAACTCTGAGCAAACTAGGAATAGAAGGGAACTTTCTCAGTGTGATAAAAGGCATCTTAAAAACAAACAAACTTACAGATAACATGATAATTAATTGTTAAAGATCAAATATCTTCCCCTAAATTATGAATAAGATTGACCACTCTCATCACTTCTATTCATCACTGTAACAGAGGTTCTGGCCTATGCAATACAGCAAGAAAAAACAACAGCATCTAGACTGCAAAGAAATGAGTAAACTATCTTTATTTGTAAACAGTATAATCATCTAAGTAGAAAGCCGTAGGGAATCTACAAAAATCTATATATACGAGTTATAATTAAGTTTGGTAAGATTGCAAGATAAAAAATCAAACACAAAAATCAGTTGTTTTTCAGTATGACAGCAACAATCAAAACTGAAAGTTTTTAAAATGTCATTTACAATAGCATCCAAAAATATTTACTACATAGGGAAATATCTGACAAAACAGGTGCAAGACCTATTGACTAGAAATTTTAAAACATTGCTGACAGATTAAAAAACTAAAGAAATAAACAGATATACCATGTTAGGAAACTTGATAAGGTGTTGATTTTCCCCAAAATTGATCTATCGACTCAACATAATTCCAGACAAAATCCTAGTAGGCTTTTTATAGAAACTGACAAGCTGATTCTAAAATTCATATAGAAATACAAAGGACTCAGAGTAGCCAAACTAACTGGAAAAGAACACTACCTGAATTCAACACTTATACAGAAATAATAATCAAGACACTGTTGTATTGATATATAAATAGACAGATCAAGAAACAAAGCAGAGTCCATACATGAATGGTTTCAACAAAGGTACAAAGCAACTTTAACAGAAAAAGATTACTCTTTTCAACAAATAGTGCTAAAACAAATATCTATATGCCAAAAAAACTGAATTTAGCTCCATACCTCTCTCCATATATAGAAATTAACTTAAAATGGACCACAAATCTAAATGTAAAATCTAAAATTATAAAACTTCTAGAGGAAAAGAAAATGAAGAAAATATTCATCAAATTGGTTTAGGCAGTTTTCCATTTTTTTTTTTTTTTATTTATTTTTTAAAGACAGGGTCTTGCTGTGTTGCCCAGGCTGGAGTACACCGGCACAATCACAGCTCAGCTCACTACAGCCTCCAATTCCTATATTCAAGTGATCCTCCCCTCTCAGCTTTCCAAGTAGCTGGGCTACATGCGCATACCACCACACCCAGCTAATTTTTCAAACACTTTTGTAGCAGCAAGGTCTTGCCTTGTTTCCCAGGCTGGTCTCAAAACTCCTAAAATCAAGTGATCCTCCAGTCTTGAGCTCCCAAAGTGCTGGGATTACAGACATGAGCCATGATACCCAGCCTAGGCAAAGTTTTCTTAGGTATAACATAAAAAGCATAATCCATAAAAGAAAAAAGTGATAAAACAGAATTCCTTAATTTGAAAATTAGGTTCTTTGAAAAACACTGTCAAGAGATTTAATTCTCTTTTCATTGTGTTTTCATAGACAAGCCCCAGACTGGTAGAAAATATATGCAAATTATATACCTCATAAGAAGCTAGTAATCCAGAAAATGTAAAGAACTCACAAAATCAGTAAGAAAATGTTTTTAACACGCAAAAGATTTTAATAGATACCTATTAAAGAAGATATACAGATGGCAAATAAGCACGAGAAGATACTCAGTATCATTAGTCATTAGGGAAATGCAAATTAAAACCCAATAATATACCATTCACCTATTAGAATCACTAAAATTTAAAAGACTAACCATACCAAGTATTGGCATGGATGTGAATTAACTAGATAGAATACTGACTTACTGCTGGTGGGAACATAAATGATATAACTACTTTGGAAAACAGTTTCTCAGTTTCTTTAAAAGTTGCACATGTATCTACCATATGATCCAGCCATTCTCAGGTATTTCCCCGAGAAAGGAAAGCATATGTCAATACAAAGACATAAAGACTTCCACGTGAAACTTCACAGCAGCTTTATAAGGAGCAGCCAAAAATCTGAAACAATCCAAATGTCCATCAGCAGTTGAATGGATAAACAAAGTATGGTGTATCCAGACACTGGTACACTATTCAGCAGTAGAATAAACTAATACACCATGAATTAATCTCAAAATAAACAGACTGTGTGAAAGAAGCCAGACAAAACAGAAGTATATAATGTATCATTCTATTTACAAAAAGTTCTAGAAAATACCAACAAATCTATAATGTGAGAAAGCAGATCAATAGTTGCCCTGGGACAGGAATAGGCAACTGGAAGAGGGAAGGTTTACAAAGGAAACACATGGGAACTTTCTAGTGTGATTGATATTTTTACAGTTTTGACTGTGGTGATAGTTAAAATTGCAAATACATATGACAAAACTTGTCAAATTGTACAATTTAAGTAAATAAATTGTACATTTTAAACGGTGCTTTTTATTTTAATTACACCTCAATAAATCTCTTTAAAATATTGTTTAAATAGCTATCAAAATTATAATTAAACACCTCATTTTTCAAAATACTAAGAAGGAAAAACAGTCCTATAGGGTAGTATATAAGGGGTAACCTAGTGTGAAGCATCAGACAAGCCTCCTTTAGAAACTAGTATTTAAGCTAAGATTAGAAGGATGATAAGTAATCATTCAAGCAAAGACCAAAGAGAGAGGAAAGAATTTACAGAAGTAACTGTGTATACAGTACATTGAGGCCAAAAAGAATGTAACACTTTCAAGGAACTTTAAAAGATCAGTCAGGGCAGAGGAAAGGAGGGGTGAGTCTAATCGGCTAAAGGGGCCAAATCATCCAGACATGTGTTCTTGAAAACCATGCTACTACAAGTAACTTACCTTATCAATTTAGAATCTAAGAAACACGCAATTTAAATTAAATTCCTACTGTGGGATTATATCATTTAATAATGTAAAAATAATCCATGGATATAAATTATCTATTACAATACAACTGTGAAATAAAGAAGTCTTTATTACAATATAACTTTGAAATAAAGAAGTCTTCTTGGGGACAGGGAACATCCAGTTTAAGTTTACAGTTGCTGTTAGTTTCCCTACAAATAAAACGGATTCCATATACATATATATTTGCATATGCATATATTTTTAACAGCTTAGGGAAAGAGTTTACACATTAATTCTGCCCCTCTTGGTTTGCAATAACAACCTAATTCCTGACATTATATCATTATATCTTCATTTTGCTGTCACCACAGATAGAATGTTTCATATATTTATATATAAAATTGTGAGAAGAGTCCTGCTCTGACACCCAGGCTGGAGCACAGTGGCATGATCACAGCTCACTGCAGCCTCAACGTCCCAGGCTCAAGCAATACTTTCACTTCACTCCCTCTTGTAGTTGTGACCACAGGTGTGTGCCACCATGCCCAGCTATTTCTTCAATATTTTTTGTAGAGATGAGGTCTCACTATCTTCTTGCACAGACTGGTCTCAAACTTCTGAGCCCAAGGGATCATACCGCCTCAGCTTCCCAAAGTGCTGGGATTACAAGCCGGAGCCATGGCACCCAGCATACTTCCATTTTAAATGTGCAAAATGAAATATCCCAGTCTGACTAACTTAAGTGGGGTAAAAATATATCCCTTTATATTTGACTAATATAAAGACCAAGACTCATTATATTTATATAAATTTATATAAATCTCAATTACTCTACAAAATTAATTCTGAAGAACCCCCTTCTAAAAGAGAATGTCATTCAAACAGATTATAGCAAAATGTTTTCTTGCTTCACATTACACTGAACTATTCAAATAAATACAACTTGAATTAGAGTCTATATCTTTGATTATTATATTTCAAATATATTTTCCTATTCTCTATCATAAATCCTTTAGTCTAGCTTTGGCTGAAAAATCAATGTTCCTTCTGTTTTTCCTGTGTAAGGAAGGAATGGCCTGTTATTCTGAGTGTTTTATTCTTTTCAAATGGAAACAGAAGACGAATCAATGCTAAGAGAACTGAAGTACCACTTTTGATACTGTATTTGCTTCTGCATTTCTTCCCCCAACTATCAATCTTCCATCCTCAAGAAGCATTTGAAGAACACTTTTATTCCCTAGTGAAATCCCTACAGTTGAAAAAAAGCTAAGTTACCATGGAACCAACCAATTAATTTTGACACCTGCTTACCAAGATTGATCAATCATTTTTGATGTCTGTTTGTAAGGTTCCTATCCTTCAGTTTTTAGAAAAAGATTTTCAAGATAATTAGTGAAGCGAGATTTTCTAGTCTTTCCCACTGTGTTATTACCTCAAATGCCAGATAAAACAAGCTACTATCTTCAAATAAACCTTTCATAGGTTTATTTGCATGTACTTTACCAAGAAGAATTTTTTTCTACTAAATATAATCCCTCTCTTTAACATTAAATATCAATGTTTTCTTTATCCCTAAGAGTATACATAATAAAACAGATAGTTACACCAGTTATATTTACTCTAATTAATAGCTTGTATTCCACAGAGAAATGCAAAAGCATTTGCTCAACAGAGTTCAGTAAGTCCTAGGAAATAACAGCTTCCAAGGAAATGATGAATACTCAATGATTAGCTCAGGATTTATTGTTTTTTAGCAGTATCTACACCAAGTATCTATTCTTCTTCTACTCACTAATGCATTTTGTTTATGAACACCACCTCTCAATGTTATTTAAGCTAGTTTTAACTTGTTCTGTTATCTTTTTAACTACGATAACGTCTGCTAGCGAGGTCTGCTGATTCAGCTGATTAACAAGTTCCACTACGTTAAAATGTATTATAAATATGAGTTTCTCAGGACTACAGCAATTTTTATCCTCTTTAGACAAATGGAGCAAATCCACCCTCACAAAGGCCAAAATCCCTAAATTACATATAAATCAGGCAATCTCCCTATTTGTGTAAAAAAAAAAAAAATGTAAAGAATGGATGAGGCTTTTTCACTGCTGACTACCAGTTTATATGTTCAAAATTCTCTCTTGCTAGGTAAAGACGCTGAATGCTACTGTCACAGCAAAAGTTTAAGAACACAAGTTAAAAAAAAAAAAAAAAAAGCTGCTAACAAACAACATCTTGAAACACTTTTTAAACTTTTAAATAGCACCTCTTCTGATTTATTTTAAAAAGTATTTGTAAAACTACATTACTATAAAAAAAAAAAAGGAGACTATATTGTGTTTAAACTCCAGGAAATTGTCCTAGACTACATTAATTAGGTCAACCACAGTCTTACATTTGCCTTACAACCCAAGAGAAATTTCACCTAGATTTTGGCTATCAGCCTGACAGTATCAGTAATCTACAATATTCAGTGTAATCTCAGAGCCACAAACCAGCCAGTAAACATCATACTAAGTATCTGTAAGACTAAGAAGCTGTTGTTCTTAATGACTGCTACCTATACTTTGTTAGAAGACTGCCCCAAAGTTAACTGACTTATTTGCTACTCCCCCACACTTACCCATTGCTTATTTCAGGCAGGAATGTAATAAACATCAACCAATACAAAGAAAGTACCTTCACCTTAGCGAAGCAAACTCCTTAGGCTCCTCGTGCTTCAGAAAAGCCAAAGCGCTGTTCCCGCACAATAGCTAATACTGAATTAACCGATCAGAAAAAAATCCATTATCCTCACCACATAAAAACGTCTGGGTATTTCATCCTTCTATTTAACCTAAAGTCACCTTCCTATGTCTTAATTCAAGATTGTTCTAGCAAATTCAACACAGCGAATCTCTTAAAAGTACAAATTCTGGAGTGTATGCTGGCTCCAGATGTGCCAGCTGATTTGAAATCACAACTCGGTCCCTACTACTGTGTCATCTTGGGCAAGTTACTTCAATGTATCGCCTCGATTTCTCTCCGTAAATGCAGCATAATATTTCTAGCAACTCAGAGAGTCGTTATAAGGAACAAATGAGAAAATCGACGTAAAGTGCTTAGAAGAGTGTTTGGCACTTAGCAAGCCCATCATAAAATCTACTTATTGAGATCACTACGATGACTAAATAAATGTTAGTAGGGGTCACCTCTAGAGAGAAGAGGAGGATGGGGGAAGAGAGGCACTGGTAGATCATAACTTTGAACCTTTACACTTTTGTATTTGAATTTTTCACAATGCGCATGTATTTCATGAGTGACTTGGATAATTTCTGATTTTAAAACATTATCCTAAGAAAATGGTGCTGGGCATCGTAACTGACTGTGAAAATGTTTGTGTCGAGCAGCGGATCAGAAGCCGCTGCGGACATCTGGAACGCTCGAGAAAGGCTTTGCTGCTCGTCGGTCACCGCTCCGCGCGGGCCCGAGCGCCCCCGGGGCGCCGCGGGGCTGGAGGGGGCGCGGCTCGGGACCCACTCCCGCCCGCTCCCGCCGCGCGCGCGCTGCGGTTCGCCACCGGCCCGGGAATCCGAGGCCGCGGCGAGGGAGGCCGCGAGCGAGTCTGGGCTGGAGGTTCGGGGTCCGCAGAAGGCACTTACTTGAACCTGCCCTGGCAGTGCTGGCACTGGTCCCCCACCCAGCCCGGGTCGCAGAGGCAGGTGGAGTTGACACAGCGGCCCGAGAAGCAGGAGCCGGTCCTCTCGCAGGGCTTAGACTGGGACACCTGCGCGTAGAGCGCCAGGTAGAGGAAGCCATAGCACAGCAGCCAGCTGTTCCCGTCCAGCAGCCAGGAGGAGGCGCCCCCGCTGCCGCCGCCGCCGCCGCCCGCCGGCCGAGCCCTCCACAGCCCCGGGGCCGCCGGCTGCGGGGGACCGGTGCGGGCCTGGCCCCCGGTCTCCATCTTCCCCGGCGCCCCTGCCCCGCGAGGCTGCGCTCGCCGGCGCTGACGGGAATTCCGGCCGCAGAACACCTCGTCGCCGCCGCTTCTCCGCCTCCTCACCGGCGCCCGTCCCAGTCCCGCTGCCCGGGCAAGAGGGGCAGAGCCCAACCGCCGTCGCCTGCGCTCGGCCGCCTCCAGTCGCACTCGGGCATCGCCGCCCAGTCTCCTGACCTTGTCCTCAGCGGGCCGACCCACAGCCGCGGCGTCCCGGGTCCCACCGGAGGCGGGGAGCCGGCGGCGCAGACAGCGCCCGGCGCTCCGGAGAGGACCTGACCGGGAGGAGGAGGGGACCCCGCGCGCGGCCCCGCCTCGCCTGCGGCCCGCGCCAACTGCCTCGGCTCGGAGCGCCGCGCGCCCGGGAGGGCGGGGGCCAAGCGGGAGCCCCGAAGTGGGCGCGCCCAACGCGGAAGGGGGCGCTCGGGGAGGCGGCAGGCAGCTCTGCCTCGCCGGCCCAGCGGCCGGCGGCGCCCGGGCGGCTATTCCGTCTCTGGCGCCTAGAACCGGCCGCGGCGGCAGCGCCGGGAGCCCACAATACGTGGGGCCGCCCCCCGCCCTCGCGCGCGCCCACGCTCCCCCCAACAAGCCCGGCGTCTTGGTCTCGCCCCGCCCCTGACAGAACCGGGGACACCCCCCCGCGCGCGCCCACCCTGCCTGGCCCGAGCGCTGAGGAGATACCGGCCCCTCAGGTGTGGCCCGCGTGCCAGTCCGCTCCCCGGCCGGCGCGGGACCCCGGCCCCACCCGCACCCCGCGCCCGCGGAGCCCCGCGAATGAGAGATCGACACGGGCCTCGCAGCTTCAAGAGAAAAGCAGCCCTTCCCATAGGCTGTCTGCAGCTGCAAAAGTGCAGAGCTTTTTCCCTAGCGCTTCTCCCTCCGCCCCATCCTCCTATTTCTTCTTTTTCTTTTAAAAGAGAAAAACTCCAGTACACAAAGAGCTGAGCATGTGCAGCAAGCAAAAGCCTTAAAGGCACCGCAGTCCGACCACGCTGTGGGGTCAGCGAGGGCTGGGAGGGGCGGGGACGGGGGACTGCGAGAGGCGCTGGACGGTCTCCGCGGAGGGGCCGCGGAGGGGGAGCCATTGATGCCTCGGCACCGAGGCCCCCGCCCCCAACAAAGAACTGCGAGGCTCCGAGCCCCGCGCGCTCCACCCCTTGCAGACGCTGCCTCGGAACCCCACGTCTCTCTTCTGCTTGTCAGTGCTCCCTCCTCCATGGAGCTGGGACGATCTGCCTTGAAAAATATTGCAACATCGGGCCTTTTTTTCAGAAGAGCAGAAGTGATGCCCAGAAAAGAGCCGTTTTCCTTCCTCAGCAGCACTTTTTCTTCTTCAGATGACTCTCCAAGATTGGATGGCATATTCTGAGTTTTCTGCTTTGTACTTTTGTGTCTTCTCTAGACAGTTGCCTTTTTATTTGACCCCCTTGAGAAAGGAAGCCAAACACACATTGCAGCCATATATCTTTGAGTTATAGCAGTGTTGCTGGAGTCCCACCAAAGAGCAAACAGTATGTAAAAGAATTCGAAATCCACCAAAGGCATTTCCCACAGAACAAAAAGAAAACAGAAGAAAGAAAAGTTTGTTGTAACTACACAGTCAAAATATTATTATTAGGATTCAACTCGTGTTTATTCCGCGTCAGTTCTTTACATGTCTCTTATCCCCACTTGCAGATGAAATCCTTCATTAACCCCATTTTGCAGATGAGAAACAGCGACTCAAAAAAAGGTTAAAATATTGGTCAATGGCAGGTTAGGAGTAATGAACTGAGCTTTAGACAAGGGGCCTCTAAACTGCTGTGCTTTTTCCACTGCTTCTATTAGAAGATGCTTTGTTCTTCCTTTGGTGAATAAAATATAAATGTTGGTTTGGTTTACAAATACCTCAACAGTGACTTAAGGAGGAAAAAATAAAAAAAAACATCCAGAAGGAAATGGCTCCTTCGCAAGGAAAAGAGCCAAGGGAAAATCATGATTCTCATTGGTAGACGGAAGAAATCATCATTTCCATAATGTCAGGGTTTTATCAATACCAGAAATGTCCTTATCAAACCTAGAATTAGGATGTCCCCTTCTTCCCTTAACATCTTTTCCACAACAGGCTGCCCCTTAGAGACTTCTTGAGGTGAGTGAAGAAGCAGAGGAGAACACTACAGACACCAGTTAAAAAGGAAGATACTGTTCTGGATCACATCTTTTCATTTCAATGGCTGTGAAATCCAGAAGAATTCTTTCTAGTGTCAGCCATATATGAACGTTTTCTGCTGCTTTTCCATTCTTCTTCATCTGCCAGCCAAAGTCAGCAGCATCTTTCTCACATCTACAGTAGAATTACTTTTAGACGTGGTGAAAGTGGCCAAGCTCTTAAAACCATCAGTGAGTATGAAGGTAATTCAAAGGGTGCGCTGTAGTCCCTTTGACAAGAGAGAGAGATCACAGCTCAGTCACATACTGACTGTAGCCTGTATTTGAGCAGAGTTTGCCCATTAAAAACACACTCATAAGTGGAAGTTGAACAATGAGAACACATGGATACAGGGAGGGGAACATCACACATTGGGGCCTGCTGGGGGGTGGGGAGCTAAGGGAGGAATAGCATTAGGAGAAATACCTAATGTAGATGACAGGTTAATGGGTACAGCAAACCACCATGGCACATATATACCTACATAACCTGCACATTCTGCACGTGTATCCCAGAACTTAAAGTATAATTTTAAAAAATTATCTTTTAATTTACTAACCACTATAATCGGCTCAGTACTTCAAGTTGCACTGAAGAACATGCAGCCCCACGGGCCTCCTGTCAACATTGCCTTTAGAATCAAGCTGAATATATTAAATTTCCATGAAATTATTCTCATAAGGATCTCAGAATTTTCACCCACCCTGTACTGTGTTTCTCTCTCAAACACTTCTAGTCAACATTTACTGAATAACTATAATGAATTTAAACAAGAGAAAACAAAGATGAATAAAGCTTGATTTCTACCCCAGATTAGCTTATCTTCTATCAGGCTCACTAGACTGTGAGCTCATTATGCAGTTGAGTGTCATATACTTTACAAATGTAAAGGCAGAAAACTTAAATGATTTAAAATGGTCACACAAAAACTCAATGCCAAAGCTTGCCTAGAATCATGAGTTATATTTCAGTACCTTCTATGATCAAGAAATTTTAAAGCTCCAACATGATATTCTCTCTTTTTTTTTCAATGTAGAGTCAGCCTCCTAGAAGTGCTATATCACAGTGAAATAATTCACAGTTTGGTAATAGCAATCATAAATCTAGAAAAAAGGTGAAAATTTACTCCAAAGACATAGGGGGGGAAAATTCACCCTACTAAAGTAGGATGAAACTGGGTTTTTGTTTGTTTGTTTGTTTTGTTTGTTTGTTTGATTGAGATGGAGTTTCACTCTTGTTGCCCAGGCTGGAGTGCAGTGGCATGATCTCGGCTCACTGCAACCTCTGCCTCCCAGATTCAAGTGATTCTCTTGCCTCAGCCTCCCAAGTAGCTGGAATTACAGGCACTTACCACCACGCCCAGTTAATTTTTTTGTATTTTTAGTAGAGACAGGGTTTGGCAATGTTGGCCAGGCTGGTCTCAAACTCCTGACCTCAGGTGATCCACCAGCCTTGGCCTCCCAAAGTACTGGGATTACAGGCATGAGCCACCGTGCCCAGCCTCGGATGAAATTGTTAAAAAATTATCTATTTAAATTTATCCAAGGGGAAAGATAAGAAAAGACTGTTTTCTTTAGCCTTATATCAGGACTGTTAGATGTTTTGAGGTGTATGTTTCATTTCCAATCACTCCACTTAACCATGGTATTATGAGGGACAAAAATCTGGCATCACATCACCAGATTGTTTAAAGGAAATTTAAATTATTTTTTTTTTAGAAGAACAGGAGAAATGATAGATCCAGTATCTTTTGATTGCTACTCAAAAAGTAAAGGATCCTATTTGGTCTAATGAACCAAAGCAGACTCTTCTCGGATGTTTAATTTAAGAATCTCTGCTCTCTGGTTATTGTCCACCCTTTGGCTTATATAAGGCTTCTGAAAGCAAACAAGATAATGAGAGCTGCAGATAGCCTGGCCTCAAGAACTAGAAATGCATTCACTCAGAGGAACCCACAGTGAAACTGGAGCAGTATTCTTAAGACATTAATAGATGATGAATGAATGGTCTGTAAGGTTAGTCAGTTTAAAAAAAATCAAATTTAGGTACTTATTTAAAAAGTATTGATGATATTTAAAATGTTTATATGACAATGGATCTGAAACACCACCACAACTCCAATCAAAATCTAACATTCTGCTTTCTCTTGAATTCATTCTTTTCTTTGATCGGTTTCTCTTGCTATCACAGTTACAAACACACACATACACTTCTGCCAATTTTTCTACTTAACACATTTCAAACATATTGTTATAAGTAAATCCAAGGAAATAAATCCAAAGATTATAAATTCACTATGCTGGGCTACTACATTTTTTTTTAAGCTGGGAAATAAACTGAACAGCCTTAAACTTATAATCCCAAATATTCAGTCTTATCACCAAAAATGTTGATTGCTAATAGTCAATTGTAGAAAATTGTCTTTTGTGAAATCTAATTCAGTTAAAACATGGGCTAGGGCTTCCATTTAAACATAGTAAATCAATTATTTGCCTTTATCTCTGCTCCCTCTGCAAACTCTACCAACATGACAGGAAAGTTTTTTTTTAATTTTTTTTTCAGGTATAAACTCAAAATGATACAGAAAATGAGAAAACAACCAACTTGTAGATGAGAGGTGGCAAGGAATTTGGAAGTTTCAATGAAGGAGAAAAGTGAATGGAGAAATAATAACTAAAACATACACGCTGTCAGAGATGAGTAACAACAAGAAACAAATCTGTTTCTCCCAAAGATCCCAGGAAAGCCTCAGGACTCAGATGTAAGAGTTATCAGGAAGGCAGAGGTGGGGCTCTAAAATAAATATAAGGGGAATGGTTCAGAGCAAAATAAGGACCCATAGTCTCCCTCTCATCCTAAGCAACTAAACACTACCCCAAACACAGCCCCGATAGAGGGTTAATCTCTTGGGAAATTGAATCAGAGGCTCCACACTTGGAGCAGCAGGCACAGTAGAAGGAGGGAGTGAGGTACACAGCTGGAAAGTGAGAGACTAAGTGAAAATCTACATATTGAATGGTAAAATTTCCCTGCCATCTTTCCTCCTGTACCCAGAACATCAATAATCAAATGAATAACCCTCAGACAGAAAACTGAATGATATTTATCCGCAGAAGGTAAATGATTCCAAGACAAAAGATACT